GCGCAGGATAGAGCAGGGTTTAGGGCTGTTGTGCATAGGGTCGCTATGAGTCGGAAACGACTCGACGGCACATAACAACAACAACATTGTATATAAATGTTCTAGCTTTATAATTTCTTACTTAATCTAATCATCTTAATGATTGAAGTGAAAACCATCTAGAATAGATCTCTGAAACCTGAGGTTACTTTGATTTAGTAGAGACTTGGCCCTTGCAAATCACTAATTCAACTTGTTGAAAAGTTCTATTTTAAGAAGTGTTCTCACATATGTTGGTATGTTTTTTGGAGAGGAGGGTGCTTGGAAGGATTTTGGAAGAGGACATCATCCATAGAAAGGTTGAGGGTTAACAGAACAAGGACTCTCAACGAGATGAATTAACATAGCACAGCAGGAATCCTGAGGATGGTACGAGATTGAGCAAGGTTTGTATCTGTTGTCATAGGGTTGCTATAAGGCAGCCAACAACAAGAGAGTATTCAACAGCTAGGTCCTCTTTTTTCCCCAGACACAAATGAAATAATTTAAGGTTCTTCAGCACCAAATAATCTATATTTCTTTTTTGATTGTTATACTGGTATCTTTTCATTTAATAGAACTCAGAAACCACGATTAACTCGTACCTCTGTACCCTCATTTCTGGCCAAACGGGAACAATCTGATGTAAAGAAAGTTCCTAAAGGTGTCCCCCTGCAATTTGACATAAATAGTGTTGGAAAGCAGGTAAGTTTTTTTTCTCTGTATTTTTTGGACCATTCAATGCCATTGTAATACAATATAAAATAATTATTATAGAATGAGTCAAATAATGTCCTAGGCTACATGCTTACGAACAGATTAGATAAAATTTTATGCTTTCATATTTAATATTTCAGTGTTCATAGCAGTGTAGTATGCATTTCTTCCTAGGTTCTGAATTTTGTCTTCATTTCTTTCTAAAATTCTTTTGAGTTATAGTATTATGCCATTTAACATGTATGACCTTGAACTTAAATACATGTGCCTATTATCCTCAGAACTTGGAAACCTGGATCACTTTCTTGTAACTTTCACTGATAGGATCCTTATCTTTTCTATTACTGTGTTTATTCCAATAACATCTACTAATTTTTAGTACCTGTTTATTAAGCTTCAATTTCATAAAAGACTTTAGTTTTTCTTGCTCACTTCTTCATTCCAGAAGTTGGAGTGCTGAGTGAATACTGCTTTACATTTACAAATTTGTATTTGTAATAAATGAAAAATAACATTTCCTCTTTTATTACTATTATTGTGATAACTATAGAAACAGTATTTGCCATTTAAATTGTCATCACATGTCCAGTTTGATGACATTAAATATGTTCATCAAGTTTAGTCCTCAACATTTTTCATTTATTTTAACTTAATGAAGGCTTCTTCTTGTTGATTGCCATCGAGTCGAGCACGACTTATAGTGACCCTATGAACAAAAAGCCTGAAGCGCCTCTACAACTGTCGACATTATCAATGTTCAGAGAGTTTCTGGAGGCATGTTGTTTAGGAAGTGGATGCTACTCCTGCTTCCAAAAATAAAGGTTTTAGTGCTTATTAAAAGCCAAGGCGAAGCAGGACTGACATCCATTCCTAAACAACATGCCTCTGGAAACTTTGAGAAATGACAATAGTTATAGTAACGCTTCAAGTATTTTGTTCATAGGGTCGCTGTGAATCGTGCTCGACAGCAGTCAACAGCCACCATCATCTACTTTACCAAATCATTTGGGAGTGGAGGCAGTAGGGAGAAGAGAAGAGAATGTAACTTCTCATCCTTAGCTACTTTTATCATATTTTTTTTGTGGCACTGAGTTTATTCCTTTTTTTCTTTAAATGAACTTTTTCAATCATGGTTTCTTCTAGGAAAACTAACTGGAAGCTGCATTTTTTAAAGGACAGTAGGTCCTTTGGTGTGTGGGTAGGCTGGTGGCTTGTTTTCCACCACACTTTTCTAAATAGCAGTTTGTTGTGTCATCTGCTTAATGCTGGTTGTTGATGTCTTCCTCTGATCCTAATGTCACATTCTTCTTCATAGAGTCCAGCTTTACACTATTTGCTCAGCATTTAGATGAAATAGATGTGGAGAAAGAATACATCCCTGACATATAACCTTCCTTATTTTAAAATCATTCAGTGTTCCCTTGATCTGTTCATTCATCAGTTTCTTGGTCTAGGTAAAGATTTTGTATGAGCATAATTAAATGTTATGGGATTTCCATTTTTTTCAGGGTTAACTCTAGTTTGTTATGATCCACACAGTGAAAAATTCTTCCTGTATTCTCTGCTTTCGACCAGGATCAGCCACTTCTAAACCCCACTTGAACTTCTGAAAGTTCTGTCAGTGCATTTGTTCTAGGCATTTTTGGGGTGATTGTCAATATTTTGTTTAAAAGTGATATGAATGGTATTGTTTGATAATTTCCATATTCTGTTGGATCACCTCTCTTAAAAAATGAGAACACATACACATCTCTTCCAGTCAGTCAGATGGGTAGCTGTCTTCCAAATTTTCTAGCATAGACTGGTCTGGTGAGCACATCCAGGGTTGCATTGCATCTGTTAGTTGAAACATACCATTTGATAGTCCATCAATTCCTGGAGCCTTATTTTCTGTTAGTGCCTTTAATACAGCTTGAACATCTTTCTTTGTTACCATTGCCTCTTGTTCCTGTAGTATTTTCTGAAATTTTTCAGTGTCGCCAATTCTTTTTGATACAGTGACTCTGTCATCTATGTCTTTCATCATCTCTCATACTGCAACTTATGGCTTGAAGTTATTAGTACTTACAGCCTGAGAAATGCCATGACAGTTCCTCCTTTTTTATTCTCTGATTTCAGATTTTTGTATCTTTGGTTGCAATATTTTGCTTTGTCTTCTTGAGCTGCCCTTCTGTTCAGCTCATTTTCTTCCGTATCTCTTCCCTTTGTTTTGGCTTCTCAACACTTTAATGCAATATTCATAGTCTCTTCTGACATCCGTGATATCCTTTTGTCATACCACAGCTCCACTGGTCTTCGATCATTGGTGTTCAGTGCTGCAAACCTGTTCTTTTTTTTTTTTT